GAAGGGGCCGGAGCAGGCGGGAGGTCAGGAGGCGCATCAAAGTCTGCCCACACGAGGGAGGGTGGACCAGGGAGAGGGTCCCGTCCCGAAGTGGAGTAGAATGGGCGGGTCTCATCAAAGACAACGTCACGGCTCCGGACCAACTGTTCAGTGGAGGGATTGAGGAAGAGGTAGTCAGGCGAGTCGGCGTTGTGCCCGAGGAAGATGCACGTCTGGGTCTTGGGACCGAGCTTGCCGCCGTGCTGCCATTGAGCCTCGGGGTTGAGGAGGACATAGGCGGTGCACCCCCAAACGCGAAGAGAGCGAGCAGTGGGCGTTTTCCCGAGCCAGAGTGTGGTTGGAGTGGTGTCGGGAAGATGCGGGTGGGGGTAAAGGTTGTAGAGGAGGGCGGCGTGGTAGAGAGCGTACCCCCAGAGAGAGTGCGGAGCGTTGGAGTGGCTGAGGAGGCACCGAGTGATCTGCACCAGGGTGTGGTTGCGGCTCTCAGCTATGCCGTTCTGCTGCGGACTGTCAGGGAGGGTGAAGTTTTGCTGGATGCCTTCTGAGGAGCAGAAGGCTTTGAGTTTGTCGTTCCAAAACTCACCACCACCATCTGAGTGGAGGCGCTTGACTTTGCGATCAAAGGCGGTCTGTGCCTGTTTAACCCACGCCATGAGGACCTCTGGAACCGCAGCCTTAGTGTGGAGGAGGTGAACAGAGACGTAGCGAGAGTGGTCATCGACGATAACAAGGAAGTAGCGATAACCACCTCGTGCAGGAACAGGGGCAGGGCCCCAGACGTCCAGGTGTACCAGGTCCAGTGGTCCTGCTGCGACAGAGGGTGAGGCCGGGTGGGGCTGTTGACGCAGTTTGCTCTTGGTGCAGTCAAGGCACGTGGGAGCGGGGGAGTCCGGTGGTGGAGGAAGTGAGGCTGGCAGGCTGAGTAGAAGTTTCTTGGAGGCCATGTCAGCAAGTGTGCGGAAGTTTGGGTGCCCGAGCCGATGGTGGTAGAGTATGGTCGGGTTGGAGAAACTGCGGCACGAGCATGGTGAGGTCGTCGCCGCTGTTTGGGCGCTTGACACCTGTGGGATGGGTACTTGCAGCGTGTAAAGGCCGCTGCTGTTGAGGGTGAAACGAGTCAGGACCTTGTTGGTGAGTGGGTCGAGGATGTCACCATAGTTCTCCTTCTCCCAGAAGATGGTGCGTAGCCCAGCTTCCTGAATTTCCGTTTGGGCCAAGAGATTGTGGCGGAGTGAAGGCACGCACATTCCAGTGACAGTGCCGGAAGGGAAGGCGGGGCACGGGACTGTGGATGAACCCTTGGCATGAGTGGTGAAGCTTGAGTCAGCTCCTAAGAGAGGGATGGGTGTTGCGTAGGGTTTGAAGGAGAGTGTCTCCTTGAGTACAGTGTGAGTGGCGCCGCTATCGAGTGTGAACTCTATGTATTATGGTGCTTGTGATGAGCCGAGGTACTGGGAGGAAGCTTCATTAATCATGGCAGTGCCAGGGAACAACAGGTTGATACGGACATCAGCAGGAGCACTATCACTAGCACTAGCTGAAGCGGGGTCCTGGACCTCAACCAGGTTGGCCTTACGCGCACGCATCCAGTTCGGTGGCCTCTTGTCTATGCCGTGGATGGCGTACCATTCGTCGTCCTTCTTCTTGAAGCACGTAGCAAGGGGGTGGTTAGTGCCACCACACACTTGTCCCTTGCGGTTGCCATACTTGACGACGTAGGTGCACGGTGGGAAGCGGTTGCGCTGGAGGGGCGCCGAGGCAAGGGCCGATGCGACACTGGCTTGAGGCATGGGGGCACGGATGGCGTAAGCCTTGGCTTGAGCCGTGGAGTCTTTCTCGGCAGAGAGGAGTGCGGTGGAGACCTTGGCAAAAGTGAGGTCTTCCGCAGTCAGCGTGAGGAGCATCTTCCTTGTGATTTTGTAGGCTGTGGTGAGACCAACGAGAAGAGCTGCTGCAGGGGCCTGTTCGGGGAAGACTATACCCAGCTCCTTGAGTTCGCCATGAATGGTCTGAACCTTGGCAATGTAGTCGGCCATTCCCGAGCAATCCTCAAGGCGGACCTGGAACATGCTGGGGATGAGGATGGCAACTCCGACTGCAGTCTTGTTCATGAACCGATCCTGGAGATATTTCCAGATGGCGTTGGAGGTAGGGTAGTTATGGAACGTGTTGACAAGTTCTGGAGGGGTGGAGGCGATGAAGACGCTGATAATAGCAGCATCGGCCTTCTCCCACTTCCGGTACTTCTCAACAGCTTCCTCATATGCCATTGTGTCAGCCTCACTAGCGGATTCGGTCGGCTCACGAGGGGGAAGGGGCTGTTTTCCCTTGCCACGGTTGAGGAGAACATCCTTGAGGTCCAATCCCTGCACGTCACGACTCAGGAGGTGCTTGTCAACCCCATAGCTCCAAGCCTTGAAGTTGGAGCTAGAGCCATCGGCTTCAAGGCGGAGTGGGGTGATGGGGTTGGCCATGGTGGACGAGGTGAATGCCATAATGAAGACCCCTTGGTGTCTCGCGCGAAGCGCCGCGCTTAAGTCACCGATAGGCGCGCAGCGCGGCGATTCGAAATCCGACGGATCCAAATAGGAAATATCGTCAATGTCGACCGCGTCGGGATGCCTCGTAGAAGGAATTTTCTAGGCCGCCAAAACTAGGTGAAATCGGCCGACTACCGTAGATCTAACCCTAATCCCACACACCACCCTCAGCTTCGCGGCTACGCTGCTGCACGGCTTCGCGGCTACTCTGCTGCTCGGCTGCGCTGCTGCACTGCTGCTCGGCTGCGGGAAAAGGGGAATGGGGGTGGAAGTGCAGATGCGGGGCGACGGGCGGCGGCCCGACGAGAAGTTGCGGGGCGACGGGCGGCGGCCCGACGAGAAGCTGCGGGGCGACGGGCGGCGGCCCGACGAGAAGCTGCGGGGCGACGGGCGACGGCCCGACGAGAAGCTGCGGGGCGACAGGCGACGGCCCGACGAGAAGCTGCGGGGCGACGGGTGGCGGCCCGACGAGAAGAGGTGACGTGGTGACGAAATTGAGAGATGACGAAAAAGGAACGATAAGAGCGACGTCGATGAGCGTACCATAGAAATTGAAGGCGTCGTCGAAGTTGACGGGAAAGTGGTGCGGGAGAATTTCCGGCCACGAATGTCGCGAAACTACGGCGACGAGATTGAAGGAGGCTATGCCGAGCTTTGCGGGAAGAACATCCGCATAGATAGGAGGATCACGATCCGCATGTGCGGAGGTATGGCTCTGATACCATGTTAGACCTTAGGCTTAGAAGCGATGCATTAGTAATGAGCTTGAAGCTCTTTAAGTACATCCAAGAAGGGGAGGGAATGGATGGGGAAGGGAATCGGGGGCAATCCCTAGGGATTGGGGGTAATCCCAAGGCAATCTCCAATTGGTGGGTTGGAGATTGCTTGGAGATTACATTTGGGTTTGGTTGGGATGTAGGTGTACACCCAACCAAACACAATGTGCAAACTACACTACTCTAGGATATAGAAAATACAAAGTACAAAGTGTGAGATTGAAGGCTAACACTAACAGCCCACCCATCGCCGAGCCTTAGCCATAGGCCTGAGCATCGGTCCAAGCCGAGTCAGCTTGGCTCCAGCTGGTAGTGGCCTTGTCCTTATCCCAACCCTCAAGCCGGTAGTTGAGCATCGGCTGGTATTTGGCATCGGTAGTTGAGCCAAGTCGCCTCAACATGAACCAAGCCTAGTATTTCCCGGCTCGCGAACGGGCCATTCCGGTTCAGCTGGGAGCTGCCCGGACACTAGCCAAACCAACCAGCTCGCGAGCCTCTTGTGGCTTTCCTGCAATTCTGTTCTGCTCGAGTACTACTCGAGGGTTGTTTTTGAAGCAGAAAATCCGGCTGGAAGTCAGAAGAACATGGTGATGTGAGGAAGGAAAGGCCTAGAGAGTGGAAGCAGAGAAAGAAATAATGCAGGAAACGGCCGTTCACTGGAAAAAACAGATCTGGAAGCACACTGGCTTGTCAAAGCGACGCGGGGCGAGCGACGAGAGCGGCTCTCGGCGGGCTCACGTCGAGCTGCAACGCGAAATCAGAGGCTAGGCTCGATGGTTTGTCGAACCGAGCCCTGGCTGGCTCGGTTATTTGGTCAGGCCTACTTAGCAGCTGGCCACGTGGTCACAGAATTTTGTTAGGCCCGAAAGACGCTTTCAAACCGAGGACCATTCACGAGACCGTGTAGAGATGATTGGAGGAGGTAAGAAGGCTGGGAATAGAGAGAGTGAGGGGAGAAACGAAGAGGGGAAGGGGTTTGGGAGGAAGCCAGAAGTGGTAAGGGGCGGGAAGGAAGGGGGAAAGGCGGGAAGAGGGAGAGGTGGGCTGGAGAAACGACACAAGGTGCAGCTGTGCTGGGGGATGAAAGTTGGGGTGGGGTGCCGATTCCCTGCAGCAAGTAGTCAAGGCAACACAACGTTGAGGACGTACAGAAAAGTGAGCTTGCTGAGGCTGCTGAGGGAGTTTGGAATCTGCCCTTCCAGCTTGTAGTTCTGGAGTTTCCTGTTTCATGGTGTGTCAATGATCGTGCGTCAATGTTGGTGTGCCAATGATGGTGTGCCAATGATGGTGTGTCAATGATGGTGTGTCAAAGATGGTGTGCCAATGATGGTGTGCCAATGATGGTGTGTCAATGATGGTGTGTCAATGATGGTGTGTCAATGATGGTGTGTCAATGATGGTGTGTCAATGATGGTGTGTCAATGATAGTGTGTCAATGATGGTGTGTCAATGATGGTGTGCCAATGATGGTCTGTCAATGATGGTGTGTCAATGATGGTGTGTTCAATGATGGTGGTGTGTCAATGATGGTGTGTCAATAATGGTGTGTCAATGATGGTGTGTCAATGATGGTGTGTCAATGTTGTGTGTCTATGATGGTGTGTCAGTGATGGTGTGCCGATGCTGGTGTAACGATGCTGGTGATCACGGAGCATTGCTTTTGAAGAAAGCCAATAAGTGCAGCATGATGGAGCACCCTCTGCCAATCACCCTCTCTCTCCCATCCTCTCACTCTCATTCTCTCACCCACGTCCTCTCACTCCCATCCTCTTGCTCCCATTCTCTCGCTCCCATCCTCTCGCTCCCATCCTCCCGCTCCCATCATCTTACTCCCATCCTCTCACTTCCATCTCAAACTCCTATCCTCTCAATCACATCCTCTCACTTCCATCCTCTCACTCATCATCCCCTCACTCCAATCTCTCACTCCCATCCTCTCACTCCCATCGCCTCCCTCCCTCCCACAGCCTCCCTCCCACAGCCTCCCTCCTACCGCCTCCCTCCCACCGCCTCCCTCCCACAGCCTCACAGGGCCACGATCATGCCGGAGGGGTCGCACGTGAGGCCCGTGGCACTGCTGCAGTCCGGACTCGCGCCACTCCACCCGGGGATGCTCTGCCCCCATGCGGCCTGGCACTCCTGCAGGAATTGTGCTGCAATGAATGAGTGGCAGAGGTTGGGGGCAGAGGGGCGAAGCAGGGTGGAGGAGAGTGAGGTGGGCTGGGGAGCGTGTGGAGAAATTCCACAACGAACCTCATGGCTGATGTCAGCCTGAAAACTGCTCACGCTCAGCGATCGTCATCCTGTGTCGCTCCATCTCGTCTCTCTCTTCGCAACCTGGGGTTAGAGGAATTAGAGCCCGCATGACTGCGAAAACCTTGAAGTAATGGAACGGGTTGTCACTGGTAACATCTTTCTACGACTGTGCACATAAGAATACATGTGTATCTACTCAACAAACGTGGGCCAGCTCCTCGTGAGGCTCTTGCGCGTCCCTCGGCCTTTTGCTCCCTCTGACTGCACTCACGCCCGCAGGTCAAATGGTTCCATGGTCCACCTCTCCACTCCCTGCCACGCAGCGGTCATCGCATCATCGCAGGGGCCTGGCCTACACGACATATGGGGTATCGTTGAGGAAGATGACAGCACAGCAGTGCACGTGTTGCAGGCATGATGCAATGCCAAAAATTGTCGGCATCCCTCAACGATACCAAAAAGTAAGTTACCCCGGGAGGCATACCACAAGTTGTGCAGCGTGCGACAGCGACTCGCTGAAATGGCAGGACCCAGTGGATCATACGCCGTGACACACGAATTCCAAATGCAGCATGCGGATGGCAAATTGCCAATTTCCCGCATTTCGGGTTTCAGACTGCACCGCAAACGATCAAATTCGAAAGCGGCAATCTCCTTGAGCGGCGGGACTCGCCTTGCGTGGCTTCGAGCGGCACGGCGTTGACCATCACGTCGGGCGCGATGAGGACGGCGAGCCACCATGCCAGTGCCAGCGCGCACAGGCGCTCACGCCCATGTGCCATCGACGCCGCCACCCGCACCAGTTACCCCGCCGCCTCTCTTTCCCTCGCCTCTTCTCCCTCCCCGCGCAGAGCTCACGGCTGTTCAAACCTGTCAGATTGGGGTCTCCGCCGGTCAGCGGCGCTGCACTAACTCTGACGAGAGAAAAGCGGCTCCGCGGCTACGGATATTCCTGATTTCCGACGGGAACGGTTTTCGATTTTTCACCTCGTTGTAAGTTGTAACGTTGGGCACGAAACTCGATCCTGCTAAGTCACTTGTAAACAGCAAACACGTTCTCTCAATATCGGTGGTAGTTGGCAACCACATCTAGCGCCAACTTGTGGTCTGCAATCACATGTTTGCCAATCTCTGCCACCTGGCAGATGGACAAAGAATAGAGACCAGCATTTGCGCAAACCAGGGACAAGGTTACAAAGCTGTAACCGTGGATTGTTGGCGAAAGTAGAAAAAAAGGGAAAATATGCCATTTGTAACCAACATGAGAACATTTTGGGTAAAAAAACAAACGGGTATGGTCACTCGAAAGGGTGTTTTCACGCTATTGATAAAACGTTTCACGTAATCAGTCACAATTAACTGGTAAAAAATGCGCGAATGGTTATATTTGAAACTCTCGCCAAAAAACAAATAAAACCCAAAAGGAACCTGGACGCATTTTCGGACAAATCAACCCGTAACTCGCCAGTTGTTTAGAGTTTATCTGTTCCCAAAGCGCATCCAATTCCGATTGTGTTGGAATAACTATAGTATAGCCCCGGATAGTAGCACGTATGCGCTTATAATAAAATCATTTTTTTAAGGGGGGGGGGGGGGGGGGGGCGCTTGTAATTGAGTAACGGCCCTAGGCGCCGGCGCTTTTTTAATGGCAAAAATAAATTTTACTTTTAAGGATACCAAACTGAAGCTCCCAATAAGGCGAATACAACACAATACCATGCGCGTGGGTTCATGCATGGAATCCCGGCGAAACTTGCCGCGATTCGATTTCCCACCGCACAAAACCCGTCCCGGAGCAACGCACCTGCCAGCGCTGACACGATACCTGCCGTGCGGCCCAATCAGGTTGTCATGCGCTGACATGCAGGAGCATCTCAGCAGAACCCTCCAAAAGGGGATGACATTTGCCATGCCAACGCAGTTACGCAGCATCTATGGTGCCTCGAACCCTCCTTTGCGGGTTCAGGCAGGGGTGGACTCGTCTCTCATTGACGTAGACTCCGAGCCGCAAACCCGAAGGGGTCCCCTTCAATCTCTCATTTCTTCAACCATTCTTGCAGTTTTCTATTCAGTTTCTTTTTCTCGCTCGCCCAGCTGCGGAAGCCATGGCGGAATTCACAGGCACGCATTTTCTCTTCAAGAAGAAACCTAGGCCCGCGTTCCATGTTGACGCTGACGGGTGGTACAGCCGTATACCACCAGAGCCACTACAGCCTCCTGCGCCTCCTACACCGCCTGCTCCTTCGGCGCCTCTTGCGCCTCCGCTGCCTCCTGCTCCTCCTGTTCCTCCGTCTCCTCTGTGTCCCGTATCTCCTCACGTCACTGACAATCACCCCGTGCTCACGCTCGTGCTCCCATCGGCGTTCGACGACTAGCTTTCGGAACCAGATTCTAACAAGGGCCCCGATGTGTGGGTACCCGCTCTGGCGCCGGCACCACGTTGGGGCCAGCCAGAAGACTGCACATGGGACGAATCTGCATTCGGCGCTGACGACAACGTGCTTGACGCCGAGGAAGATTGGCGCGCTGAGGGCGACAACGGCGCCGAGGGTGGCACAGAGCCTGACGCCAAGGCCGGCACTGAGGCCGGCACCGCTGAGGATGTGTTTCCTGAGGGTGCTCCAGGCGGTGACGACGACGACGGCGTCGAGTACTGGTCACGCGATGGGCTCCCCGAGAAACTTCCGATACCATTTTATCCTTCACGTAATCAAAAGCGACCTCACCCTTTTTCACAGAACCGTGATGCCCGCCCCCCCCTCTCCTAGGCAGAAGGCCAAGGAGCACAAGCGTCAGGCCTATACTGCCGCCGAGAAGTTGAAGTGGGTCGCGCGGATGAATGTCGCGGTGTCGGTGCGCGCGTTGGCTCGCGAGAGTGGCATCCACCGCAAGTGCCTCGCCAACTGGAAGCGTGCCGCAGATTTCCTCAAGGAAGCCCAATCTACCAGGAATCGCATGCACGGTCGCGGGAGGGCGTCGTGGTACCGGCCGATGGAGATTAAGGTGTATGAGAAACTGCTCGACTGGCGCCGCAAGGGAACCGCGGTGTCCGTCGGCCGCCTGCAGGAGTGGTCCCGGGAGTTCATGAAGATACTCTACCCCCTCGTGAAGTGGAAAGGGAGCCAAAGGTGGTCGGACCGATTTCGACAGTCAAGGAATCTCAGCGTGCGAATGAAGACGAAGGTTGCCCAGAAAACCGTCGCCCGTAAGAATCACCGTGATGTTGTATGCCTAGTTTTCACACTTGTTATTTACTAACCGTAACCGTGTTCTCCTGCCCTCTGTACCATCGTTTCGCAGATGTCGCGGAGCAGTGCAAGAAGTTCTGGCAATACGTCCGTGACAAGCGCCGCGAGCGCGGCATCGAGACGACGTGGATTATCAATGCCGACCAGACGGCGCTCTGGCTGGAGATGCCCGCCACCACCACCGTCGATCAATCCGGAGTTCGGTCGGTGCTCATCAGGAGTGCGGGGTACCTGAAGGAGCGCGTGACCGTGATGTTGGCGTGCACGGCGGACGGGGTGAAGCTCAAGCCGTGGGTCTTTTTCAAGCAGAAGACAGTGCCGAAAGGCGTCTTGTTGCCGGGTAAGACATATTTCTTGTTTGTGTGCCTGGCTGTGGTTGTTTTTTAAATCATATCTAACTGTCCAATCTTGGTTGTGCAGATGTGGTCATGGCGTGCCACGAGAACGGGTGGATGAATGCGGAGGGCGTCATTCGATGGCTTGAGGAGTGCGTGAAGCCCTTCTTAAAGCCCGGGTTCGGGAGGCATGTGAGGAGCTCGTACTGGATTCCTATCGCGGTCACCTCACTGAGGGGGTGAATGAGAAATTCCGCGAGCTCAACTGCGTGTTGGCGATCATCCCGTCGGGCTGTACGGCGGAGGTACAGTGCCTCGACGTCTCCATCAAAAAGAGCATTAAGGCGAGCGTCCGCCAGCAGTACCAGAGGTGGTTTCAGGAAGAGGGCAAAGGACACCTGACCAAAGCAGGTACGGCTGCCACGCGATTAATCCGTATGCTAGTTGAGTATCCCCCCTTTGTTGCACTCACTGGATTCTATCGTGTGTTTGTGTTGGTGCAGGGAACTTGAAGAAGCCGCCCCCAGAGGTGGTTGTCAGGTGGATCGCACGGGCCTGGAAGGTAGTGCCCGCCGATCTCATCAAGCGCGCTTTCCTCACCAGTGGCATCAGCAACGCGCTTGACGGCAGTGAGGACGGGCTCGCCATGGCGCACAGGCGGAGCCAGCTGATAGTGGAAGTGGACGTCGATGATGCTATCATCGCCGATGGCTTCTTTGGCAATAACTGCCATGAGCCCAAGTCTGACGAGAAGGAGTAGATCCTAGGTGGATAGGCTACACTACGAAATGTTTAGTTAGAAAAATAAAATGAAAATGATGAAATTGTCGGTGCAAATTTTATCATGTTAGACTGTGGACATTGTTAATTGTTAGTGTTCTTTTAATGAGACCTCCAGAAAGTTAAAAGGGCGTGCTTATAATAAGTACGGCCTCCAAAGGGGGTGCGCTTATAATCGAGTTCCGGCCATAAGCACCATGTTCGATTATGCTACAGTAATGTGCTTGCTATGTACCCCCCCAGACTGCTTCATTCCTCTCCCGGCGACATTACCTCGCATGTGTGATCTCATTCATCACCTCTTTCTTCTCGATCATGCTATAGTAATGTGCTTGCCAAAAAAAAAAAAAAAAAAAAAAAAAAAACGGCTACGTCAATTTTTCTTGCCTTTCTTATTGAGCATACCTACGAGCACAATCAATATACCACCATCTTGTCTTAAGGCATGTAGATGTGTGTACCGCGGTGCACGATGGGCCCCAAGCATGATAATATGTTTGCACACCTTATTATGTGCCTTAATATTAATGGTCTCGACGCTCCTTACAAAATGAATGCTCTTAAGATTTGGATCTCGCGTATACTAATATTCTTAGAAACCTCTCCCCCGTCGAACAGCTTGGCATCCGCTCTTACAAAACGGAGTGGGCATCCGTGCAAGTGTCTTGGGAGCACCTGCGCAATTCGTATATGGCAACAGATTTAGTTACCATGAGTCGCATGCTTAGTCAACTGAGATATGTCAAAATGGATCAAGGGGAGAAAGAGGGACCATATATCAATAGGTGCCGCAATCTGCGCGATCACATTAAGAAGTGCGGCGGAACCGTCCCTGACGACATGTTCGTCTCGATGGTTCTCTCTAAACTAGGACCCGATTGGCGTCTATGCCAATCGTTTCTCCGCGCTCGAGCAACCATTTCCGAGTCCGCTCTTTGCGCCACACTCCTCTCCGAGCAGAAGGAGATCGACTTGTACAATGAGAAGAACACCAAGCGGGAGAAATTAGTGGTCTTCGCTAGAGCAACTGAAGGGGAGTCACACGAGAAGAAAGG